AAATAGTTTATAATTATGTTTGTTACAATTAACTAAAAATATTATGTGAACTTAAGCTTACTTGAATGTATATAGCAAGAGGTTCAAATAGTGAAGTGATCCTAGTTTTTGGATCAAATAATCAAAAAAATAAAATAAAAAAGGACAATATTGTAACTAGAAATGGCAACAATAATCACGATCTCGATCCCGTTAATGTATTGGTCACTTCATCACCATCATTGATGACAACAACTGAAGTCTAGTCGGTGATATACGATTTTGATCCTGTTAACGATTATATCATCGATTTCTCTCTATTTTTTCTTGATCATATATCGCAATTCTAGGATATCAAAATTATCAAATTTTTTAATTCTTTCTCAATCAAATCTTGTACTCAATGAATCWGAATGTTGATTTTGATCCTAAAACTATAATGTTATATGTGAACCTAAGATTAGTTTGTCAATTAATTAGATAGTTCACATGTGAATCACTTAAAATAGTTCATATGTGAATCTTTGGGTTCATATGTGAATGAGTTAAATAGTTCATATGTGAATCACACAAGTTCACATATGYACATATTGTTTATATGTGAATTACACAGGTTCACATATGCACACATAGTTCATATGTGAATCATATGTATTAACATATGCACTTGTTTGCCGCATAAGTCACGGAATTACCCCCTCTATCTTCTGCATAGCTGTTACAATGAGATCAAATTATATGGCGTTTGCACAATCAGCCCCTAACGTATGCATACCGTCTAGATGAACGTTACCTATGTTATTCAGTTTTTCATTTTTTATTTTGTGGTTTTCCCCTTGAATTACCTTATATATAAGGCTTGAGTTTCGGTGAAAATGAAAGTTATGTTTAGAAAGGTAATAAGAGATCTACATATTTGGATCGATCCTAATTGAAGATCAACACTAATGCGGTGCATCGAGATGCGCCAGATCAATTCTCGTAATAAGCACAATTCATGGGGGTTGACAATAAAATGATCAAGAGTCCACATCTTTTCTTATGTTTTTCACCTTTTAATTCTAGCACAATCCTTCGTCTTTATATATAATGTAGGGTAGAGTTATCTTGCAAACCAAGTCATTTGTACAAACTGTGAAAACCGTCGATTTCATTGTTTATTTTAGTGAAAAGGATTCATGAAATTGTTTAATATGATGAAATTGTTTCAAATAATTATGAACATTATTATCTTCATTTTATTTATTTTAATATGCAAATTTCATCAAAATGAAAAATACATAAAACAATTCACTTTTGACATAGAAACAAAAATACATGAAACGTTTTCATCATGAAATGAATTATTTGAGAAAAAATCGTCATATTAAACAATTTCGTGAAAAAAATACTAAAATAAACAATGAAATTGATGGTTTGTACAAATATTTTGGTTTGCATTATATCTCTCTTTCTCTCTCTCTCTCTCTCTCTCCATATATATTTATATATATATATATATATATTAACAAATAAAAATATATGAAATTTATAAAAACATGTTGAAAATGAATGCAGCGAGGCAATGAATGCATGCCCCCACACT